CACTCACGGTGAAAGAATATCAGAGAATTCTAGGTCTGATGGCAGCAGCGTCCAACGTTATACCATGTGGCCTGCTGTACATGAGACCGCTGCAGTGGTGGCTCAGGGCCAAGGGGTTCTCCCTGAGGGGAAACCCGCTTCACAAGATCAGGGTCACGCGACGGGGTCTCCGTGCCATGTGGAAAGAACCTTGGTTCCTGTCCCTGGGACCTGTGCTGGGAGCTCTGTGTCATCGTGTAACTCTAACGACGGATGCATCTCTCACAGGCTGGGGAGCGATCATGAATGGTCGCTCGGCCAGGGGCCTGTGGCAGGAGCATCATCTTCATTTGCATATAAATTATCTAGAAATGATGGCGGTGTTTCAGGCTCTGAAACACTTTCTCCCAGTCCTGAGAGGTCACCATGTTCTTGTCCGGTCAGACAACACATCGGTGGTCTCTTACATAAACAATCAAGGGGGTCTGCGCTCATGCCTATTATACATGCTGGCTCGCCAGATCCTTCTGTGGTCCCAGGGGAAACTTCTTTCATTGAGGGCAATGTATATCCCAGGATAATTGAATCAGGGAGCAGACATCCTGTCGAGGCAGGGGCCGAGGCCCGGGGAGTGGAGACTCCACCCCGAGGTGGTGAAGCTCCAATGGAAACATTTCGGTCGTGCCGAGGTAGACCTATTTGCATCCAGATAAACTTCTCACTGTTCACTTTGGTTTTCCCTGAATCCACCAGCCCCTCTGGGGTTGGATGCGATGGTACAGGAGTGGCCGAAGTCACGCCTGTACGCTTTTCCCCCATTGCTCTGCTCCCAGGAGTTCTGGAGAGGGTTCGCCGGGACCTAATTTCTCTCCTCGACGGGTCTCCTCTGGAGATTCCGATCAGGAGGGACCTTCTATCTCAAGTGTGCGGGTCGATACTTCACCCCCGCCCAGATCTATGGAGGCTGTGGGCTTGGCCTCTGAGGGGGCCCAGCTCATAGAATCTGGTCTCTCGATTGAGGTCGTGGAGACCATCCTCCAATCCAGAGCTCTGTCCACGAGGAAGTTATATGCCTTGAGGTGGAAAATGTTCACCTTTTGGTGTGGAGAACACCAGTTGGACCCAGTTAACTGCCTGGTGTCGTCAGTGCTGGAATTCCTTCAGGAGCGCTTCTCCACAGGGTTATCCTACTCTACACTGAAGGTGTATGTGGCGGCCTTATCCGCTTACCACGTCCCTTTGAGTGGAGCTTCTCTTGGGAGACACCCACTTGTGATTTGTTTCCTTCGTGGTATTTTGAGGCTGAGGCCAGCAGTGCGCACGAGGGTGCCGACTTGGGACCTGGCGGTTGTTCTGGAAGGGCTCTGTCTAGCTCTGTTTGAGCCCATTGAATAAGTTCCGGAGAAGTTTGTTACTCTAAAGACGATCTTTCTTCTGGCTATATCTTCCTTAAAGAGAATCGGAGATATTCAAGCTTTGTTGGTATCTCCCTCGTGTCAAGAGTTTTCTCCCGGCATGGTGAAGGCTTTCCTCCTTCCTAGACCAGGCTACGTTCCTAAGGTCCCAAACAATGTGGTCAAGCCTATTGTGCTGCAGGCTTTCTATCCTCCTCCATTTTTGACATCAGGCCTTGAGAAACTGAATCTGCTCTGCCCTGTGAGGGCTCTAGATGCATATGTCCACAGAGCTGCCCTTTGGAGAAAGTCTGAACAGTTGTTTGTTTGTTTTGGACCTCCTAAGAGAGGTTGTCCTGCATCTAAGCAGAGGTTGAGCAAGTGGATGGTCGAGGCCATTTCACTTGCCTACGAGTCTGCCGGACAGCCTTCTCCTTTGGCTGTCCGGACTTATTCAACCCGGAGTATGGCTGCCTCTAAGGCTATTCTGTCAGGAGTTTCTGTTAAAGAAGTTTGTGATGTGGCTGGGTGGTCTTCACCACACACTTTTGTAAAGTTCTATTGTCTTGACTTTGGCTCCACTCCAGGGGCGCAGGTGCTTTCATCTGAGTGTGCGCTATGATTTCACATAACGGACACCTGCTCGTATGGCGGTGTTGGTATTGGCGTTCCCATAGCGGTTACACGCAGCTCGAAGTTCCCTGAATGGGAACGTCTCTGGTTATGCATGTAACCGTAGTTCCCTGAAGGGAATGAGACGCTGCGTGTCCATGCCATACTCCCAGCATGCCCGTGAGCACTTGCTTCAGTCTTATCAGAAGCTGTCGTGTTTGTGTTGTTGGGGTGCTTTATAGTTTCCTGGTCAATACGTCACCCCGCCTATGACGTTCCATCTCGCCATTTGACTGATTTCATACGTGCTTCATGACGCACTCACGCAGGGGCGTTCCCATAGCGGTTGGTCTGAAGTAGCCTCATGATTCATAGGTGTGGTTTGGACGTAACATGAAATAAACCAATCAGAGCGTCATCCAACATACCCTTTAAGAGCAGGTGCGCATGATGCATGACGGATTGTTATTATAATGGTGGGTTTACCAGTCGTGACCCAGGAGCGTTCACAGCTGAGGAGACCGAAGTTTTTGCCAGGGAAGTGAAAGACAGAGAAGTGACGTTGTATGGGGATGGGAGAACTGACTTTAGACTAGTTTTTTTTCTGGTCAGTGGCACAATTGTTTTCTGGAACTGCAAAATAGCACTAGGGAATGTATGCGCCGACACACGCCTCCTTTTTGCGCCGACCCGCCCAGGGAGTGCAAGTTAATTTCCTAGTTTACCGACGTGCGTCTGTGGAGGAAAAAAGCCTGTTTTGCACGGGTGAAAAATAGGAATGAGACATGTGTTAGTGTATAAAGTCATTTGCACCGGGTGTAAGATAAGGCCCATAGTTTATATATATCTTAGAGGCAGTTTGATTGGCCAAACATCTTTCCAAGAATGCTGGTATTTACATCCTAGGCTCATTGAGAGAAAATAAAGAATGTTAAGAATTCAATGCAGTTTTCAGCTGAAATGAACACTAGAGGCAGTAAAAATCAAATTTTTTAAAAATCACTTTTATTTTGAGAACAAGGGCAGATTATTGGGTCCCACTTTATATTAAGTGGCTTTAACTATTATGGACTAACATTGAAATGGATAATTTGATACAATGGATTTATTGTGTACATACATGTTTTTATATTGTACTTAAATTTGAAAAATACCTGCATGTAATTACAGCTGTAATTCATTTCTGTGATTACATTCCACACCTGACCCTAACCTTACCCTCATCACACCTCAATAGCAGCGATGTGTTTTACAATACAACATGAATTCAATAATTACATTATACTTATTTTTAGATGCAAGTACATAAAACCACTTAAATTAAGTTGGACTGACTTATTTTAACACTGTTCAGTGCATAGTACTATATGACCTCAAAACACTTTTACCATAATGCATTGTTTGTAAAATAATGCACTTTGACATGTGCATCATGTAACCAGTTCCTTGTGTGGCTGTTCTGATGTACTTTCAGGAGCTCACCTGGGGCAGATTTGCTCTTGTAAAAGTACCTTGCAAAAATATTACAAAACTTGTGGAAGCAAGCTAAAACAGCATGAATGCTTCAACAAAAGCGTTTTTATCTCAAGTTTGCTTCTTTTAACACTGTCGGTTAGGTTTAGGTTATAGGGTTTTGGTGCAGGTGGTACATTTAATTTCCGAACTGCCATGATGCATACAACGACCCATATAAAAAATGTTGCTAGATTCACACTTATGTGTTTCAGATAAACTGAAAACGCTCATTCGCATATTGGCTTGGCAAACTTTTTTTTTTCCCCAATATAACCGAATTCATAGTTTTATGTGAACGATTAGGCAGGATGATTTTAGACGCATATTTCGTATGTGTTTTGTGGCCTTGTTTCAGACACTTTCATTTTTAGTTTTTTCAATAACCACGCATAAACAATATTCTCTCAAAAATACAAACATGTACATACATTTTGATCACATATTATGGTAGCCCTGTTTGTGCTAAATATAGTGTAATTTCACCTGTGCCATTAATAGGTTAAAAAAGCACATATAACAGGCCATCTCAAAACATCTCAAGGACCCCAAATTCACCCAAGACCTCTGAGGGTTAAGTCCCACTCACTGGACATTTCAATTTGAATGTGTTGCAAGAAGCAACATAATATCATTTCGTTGAAATGTGCCCACATGCCTGAAGCAAGAACTAGAAGGTTGGAATGCAAGTTATCCATTATACAATATAAAAACAAAATTTTCTTAATTTACTTTGAAATACAAATTCAATATCACAGAAAGATCACGCAGAAATTGTGTCACTCGCTACATCATTTACTTGCTAGTTATTTGGCCCGTCATCAGTGACACAAGGCCACTTCTTGTTAAAACACATTTTCCTAGATCAGTCAGTGGAGTACTATTATCATTTTTACTTGCTTAATTCATGTCACCCAAGTGCATCATGCTGCTATTCCTATAAAAGTCAATGGCTAACTGGTCTTAGGATGTCGAAACAACGAGGGAACTTCTTTTCTGAATAAGCTGTTATGTGGATCAGATCTTGTGCTTATAGTCAATAACAAAATTTGACCTCTGTGAGACTATTGGCTAACTGATCAGTAGCATTCCTCTCCAAAATAGTGAAAATAATGCAAAAAGCAATCATAGTGTTGTTGCTTGCAAATATATTTTTTTTTGCTAAACAAAATTTTGGTCAAACACCTTCTTCGCCTTAATTTTTCATAATACTTGCCTACGCATCTGCTGACATCCAGGTGGATGAGAGGTGTTTATTTATTCATTTTCCTGCCAAAGGCAATTTTATTTGCATTTGGCACTTGGCAAGTGTTAATTTTGCACCCCAGCTGTAGCCATTTCCATGTGTTCTCTCTGAGAATGATCTAAATCTGCTCAGAGGAGTCTCTATAATGACAACTAGTTGCAGTGTGCTGTATGCAATTTAAATGGTAATGATATAGAACCAATAACACTGCTGATGAAATATAAACTGAATGTGTGTGGTCGTTGTCTCATTTACAGATGGTGAGAGGCCAATGGAGGGAACTGATACCAGCCGTAAGAGAGACTCGCGTTCATCAGACAAGCACCACAAAAACGAAGATGCCAGCAACAGCCAGGAGGACGAAAACACAGTACGTTTGTTTGTTGTTTGTTTTTTTTTTACCAAAAATTTCTAAAATTTCAAAAGGAACACAGGGCTTAAAAAGAAGTGTGCTTAATTCTATTGAATATACACTTGGAGTGTATACTTCAAAAACTATACTTGAAGATAATATGATATTAATGAAATAAAAGGCCATTTAAGTGTACTTAAAGAGTAAACTTTTTAACAAGATTAAGACAAGTGCACTTTCTAATAATGCCAAATTTGTTAGTTTAAATAATTGTTTTAATAATCTTTTGTCATAATATACAGACCTCTACTTATTGTTATGTGTTGACTAACACACTAAAGCACATGTAAAGTACTTGATTATAATGTAGTGTGTGATTCAGTATTTAATTTAAAGTGAATATATTTTAAATGTACTGAATTGTAACTTCATCATAACAATTCTGTAATTACAAATATATGCACGAGTTTCAATAGAAACTTTAAAATTGAAGTATATTGTTTACCATAAATGCTTGTCAGTATTTGACAGAACACTTACCATTTTTAAAAGATAATAAAATTATGAAATTACATAAAGAAATCTTGCTCAAGTGGGTCAAATAAGCACTCTGAAGTTACATTTAATAGAAATTTAAACTGTAATGCATTTACATTTAATTGCAATTAACATGCAATTAAGTGTCCGATCACATGTTTATTTTCTTTTAAAGTCTATTATTCCCATAATACATAATTAATTATTACCAGGGCTGTTAAATAGTCTTTTTTAATAAATGTCCGGTTTTGCTTTAATCATCACTCTTTTGTAGAATAGTGGCCAGAAAGAGATCTGAATTCACTTCAAATTCAGTTGCAGTGTGAATGCAAAAGCGAACTGAATTCTTAGTGAAGATGAAGAACGTGATTTTAAAAGTCGTGCAGCCTTAATTTCAGCAAAAAGAAGACAACCATGCTGGGGTTGATGCTGATGTTGCCTTGTGAAAATAAGAAACGCACTCCTCTTTTTGCAAGAAGCTCTTTTAGTGCATGGATGCATCCTAAAAAAAAAGTTGACTTTATTTCACTTACTGAGGACATATCAGGTCATTTCAACCTCTAAAAGATGGGAATATACTGTCGGGAATACGATACCGTTCATACCGGCCTAAATGATTGATGAACTTTGCGCCTGTCCAAGATGTTTCTCAAAAGAGCCTTCGCTGCATTTCCATTCCTCCCACAGCACAGAGCTGCCTGGCTTTTAGCACCTTTCATCTCAAGCACAGAGTTACACACAAGCTAGTCCAAATGTTCCCACACTACCAGACCAGTAAACCCTCAGTGTCAAATAAGATCAGTTTACACTGCCATATACAGCATCAATATAAACTAAGCAAAAATATATTGTTGTGACTTTAAGTCCGCTAGCTTTCGTAGCATGCTAGTGTACCTACAGGTTGACAACAAGTAAAGGAATAGTTCACCCAAAAATGAGCATTATCCCATTATTTACTCACCCTCAAAACATCTTAGGTGTATATGACTTTCTTCTTTCAGCCGAACACAATCTGGGGTGCGTTTCCCGAAAGCATCGTTAGCCAACTATGGTCGCAAGTTGGTCGCAATTTCCATTGAACTCTATTGGTAACGACGGAACTTGCGACCATAGTTGGCTAACGATGCTTTCGGAAAACGCACCCCTGAGTGATATTAAATGATATCCAGGCTCTTTGTAATAGAATTGAATAGTGCATTGAGAGTTTTTGAAGCTACAAACGGTCTTCTGAAGTGATGTCTTTTTGTAAGCAAATTATCTGTATTTTAAACAGAATTAACTATAACCACTGGGTTCCGGAAATGACTGTCCGCGCATTCACAAGAGAGTCGAGTCCTCAGCGCAAATCATCTATTGGGCGTGTCATAAGCTTCAAATTACATCATTTTTTTCAAACACACACTGTAAGTATAATGTGTTAGAGTATGTCGCGATGACATGAATCACACGTAAAGTTTCCTTGTTATGACTTAACCTACTGTAACGCAGTAAGACAACAGAACCCGTATGGACCTCGTTACGTCGTGAGTGTGTGTTAAATGCTCTCCTACTGTTGTCTTGGATAAAAGCGTCTGTTAAAAGAGACATAACACATTATTCCCAGCAGGCACACAACGTCATAAGACGTTGATATTTGGTTAAATGTCGGCCGCGACGTCGGGTGAACAAAATTCAATGTAAATTCAATTTCTAATGTCAATGTTAAATTGATGTCCAATACCGAATCATGGCTTGCTAAGCTATCATGGCATGTTCCCAAAATTGCTACTAGGGTGCTTTAAAATGCCAATTCCTATTCCATCTAGAATTTATTATTATGTACATCACCTTTCAGTCCCTCCAGAAAAACGCGATTGTGCGATCACATGATTCAATGCATAATCAGCCAAAGTCTGCAGATTTATGCAGGGGCATTTTTTCAAATATGCCACACTTTTGCTGCATAAATTGCCGATTTCCGCACAAAATATGCGAGGCTAATGATTTCATAATCCCCGCATTTTTGTCGCAAAAAAGTCACATATATCTTAGCAGAAAGTTCACGCAAGAGCAGCCATTTCCCTCTGTTGCCATGGGAACGTAATGAAGTGACATGCGTCTTGAACATCATCGAAAAGCTGTAAAACAGGAAACATTTTTTAGACAGTATATATATTTTATTTATTCATTTTTACAGAAGTTGTAGCATATTCCTTTTGTAAAGCTACAGAACTTGTTTGACTCATCAGTGTTTTGTAAGTTTGAGCCATGTGTTTATTAAGGTGTGAAACAAGATGAAATATTCCAGCTCTTTCTGTGATGTAGTCTGTTTGCCTCTGTAAATGACTCTTTACATTAAGTGTTGGGGGAATCACTTTTTTTCTCTTTTTCTGCAAGACTCCGCATTTTTTCCGAAGGACTGACCTTTGGGTCACATCACCATACAGCTTTTGTCCCCACCATTTTTGTAATGGCTGCTACGCCCCTGTGTATGGGTTACTTTTTGGGTGATTGGATAGATGGATTGGATGAATGGATGGATGGATGGATGGATACATCCAATCCAGTCCATCCATCCACCCACCCACCCATCCAATCCAGTCCATCTATCCATCCACCCATCCATCCAATCCAGTCCACCCATCCATCCATCCATCCATCCACCCATCCAATCCAGTCCATCCATCCACCCACCCATCCATCCATTCATCCAACCATCCACCCATCCATCCACCCATCCATCCGATCCAGTCCATCCAGCCATCCATTCATACATCCATCCATCCATACATACATCGATACATACATACAGTGATAGGTTGCCATATCGGTAATAAGTCCATTCGTGGGCCAACTCTACGGATTAAACCCTACGGATTAAGAATTGGATGTCATTAAAATTCATGTGCATGTACAGGCAGACATCCCAGAACTTTTGGCAATATAGACGGATGGATGGGCTTTTTGTAGCTTCAAAAACTCGGGCACTAATCAATGCCATTACACAGCTGGGAAGAGCCAGGATATTATTTAACCTACAGTTTTTTGCCAAAACTATTTAGACACCCCTCCAAGTCATTGAACCATCACAGTTGTATAAAATCAAGCACCTAGGCATGCAGACACTTCTGCAAACATGTGTGAAAGAATGGGTCGCTCTCAGGAGCTCAATGAATTCAAGTGTGATACTGTGATAGGTTGCCACATCTGCAATAACTCCATTCGTGGGCCAACTCGATATTAAACCCTACGGATTAAGAATTGGATGCCATTAAAATTCATGTGCATGTACAGGCAGACATCCCAAAACTTTTGGCAATATACTAGTGTGTCTCCTATTGTTTTCGGCTGAAAGAAGAAAGTCATATACACCTAGGATGGCTAAAGGAGTAGTTCACTTTAAAAAAAAAAAAACTTTTGCTGATAATTTACTCTCCCCCATGTCATCCAAGATGTCCATGTCTTTCTTTCTTCAGTTGAAAAGAATTGAAGGTTTTTGATGAAAACATTCCAGGATTTTTCTCCATATAATGGACTTCAATGGGAACCAAACGGTTCAAGGTCCAAATGAGAGTTTCAGTGCAAACTGTTCAAAGGGCTTTAAACGATTCCAGACGATGAATAAGGGTCTTATCAAGTGAAACGATCGCTCATTTAAAAACAAAAAACAAACAAACAAAAAAAAAAACAAAGTTTAAGTTTTATAAGCTCAAATTGTCATTTGAACAGTTTGCAGTTTGTACTGAAACAGTCTTTTGGACCTTGAAATGTTTAAGTCCATTATATGGAGAAAAATGCTGGAATGTTTTCATCAAAAACATTCTTAATTTATTTTCAACTGAAGAAAGAATGACATGGATATCTTGGAACATGGGGGTGAGTAAATTATCAGCAAAAGGATGAGGATAATTTTCATTTTTGATTGAACTATTCCTTTAATTTGTAGGATTTATGAATCCTTTTTCAATAGGAAATATGTCAACACTCAAAAGCAAATTGCGTTTGAAAAACCACAGCATAGGCTTTTTAATTCTATGGCTTTAAAGCTGTGAGCGAAGGATTTATCAAGTCATAATGGAATGGAGATTGCAGAAGATGATGTGGACAAACAGAGAGTCTGTGACAGATGCTGTGCTGGTGGAGTGATTTATGTGTGTGGAGATAAATCTATCATTGCTATGCTGTGCTGTGAATACATTACTGCTGTTTAGTTCTGCTTCATAATCTCAATGTCACACACTGGCTCTACACGGAAAACTTTGTCCTTAAGCAGTTTTCTTTCAGTCAGAAGATTAAGAATGAAGTAGAGTTATGACCAAAAGTTTGAAAAGCCTTTTTACAATTTAATAATACAATGTTCACCTTGAGAGTTAATAATACATTTCTTTGATTATGATTTTTTTTAAATAATTTAAATAGGCCTACAGAGTTCATACATACATTCACAATTTTTAAATATTGTTGAGTACATGATGGTACTGTATAAAACGTCTTCTAAAAAC